TCAGACGGACTTCGAATCTCAAGCTTCGGCAACAACGCGGACATGTTTGACTACGGTAACTCTGCGTTGGGTTTGAAATCATCAAATGGACTTCGAAGCTCAAGCTTCGGCAACAACGCGGACATGTTTAACTACGGCAAGTCTGCGCTTGCTTTGAAATCATCAAATGGACTTCGAATCGCAGGCTTCGGCAACAACCCGGAGGTGTTTATCTACGGCAAGCCTATGTTGGCTTTGAAATCATCGGATGGACTTCGAATCGCAGGCTTCGGCAACAACCCGGAGGTGTTTATCTTCGGCAAGCCTTTGTTGGCTTTGAAATCATCAGATGGGCTTCGAATCGCGGGCTTAGCCAACAAACCAGACATGTATAACAACGGCAAGCCTGCGCTGGCTTTGAAGGCATCAAATGGACTTCGAAGCGCGCGCGTCAACGAGAAGCCGAGCATTTTTGATTTAGGTAAGCCTTCTTTATTTTTAGACTATTAGATGACCTTCAGAAAATTGGTTTCCTGTATGCTCTGAGCAGTAAATATCAAAAAAAGTATTCTTTCACTGCAAGCTCTTACGGGTTTGAAGGCTGAGATCAATGCTTACTGGATTTGCGTAATTGCTGGGACCCGTAGAGTACAAGGAAAAATTTTTACTTTCTGCAATACCGCTACTGTTTTAACCTTTAAATCGGTTTGAGTAGGAAGTTGCAATTTCATAAGAATGTTGACAGTCAGCGTGTGACCTAAATACTTAAAACAGGTTTTCGATTACTTATGGGCCAAGCGCTTGGGCATAAAATGTTTGAATTGCAATACTTTCATTATTTTTGCGGGCAGTCAGATAAGCGAGTAAGAATAAATTTCATGAGAATGCTAGCATATTTTGTCCAGCTCTAGGATTGAAATACCATCATTTACAAGTGCCTGCTTCTCTGTGTGCGCACACTCCACTGCAAACTTGATTATGCAAAATCGTCGGAAACTTCACTTTCGCGATGAACATGCATACTGAAGACGCGGTTTCATATTGTATAACTACCGGCCCTC